TTGTATGTATATTTAAATTATTTTTATGACTCTGCTTCTAAAACATGTTAGAATTGTTTTGATGTATTCTTTTCCTTTGAACAAAGCATAGCATTTTATGATCACATATATTTTTATCATCAGTTTTAAATTGGTGCAGGAACAAGATATTTATTCCCTTTCCATATAGGTGAAGCAATGTTAGTCAGAAATGTACCTATATTAGTGTGGTTTTTAACTTTTTTTGACCTAGAACAAAATACATGCTGACCAAGTTCTGAGTTTTGAAATTGTAATGTCTTGAAATCCAAAACAAAGTTTTCTGCTTCTCATAAGTCAAAATATTCCTAATTATCTTTTAACTTCAACTTTATGGAAGAAAAAATGTTTTAGGGAAGCTATTATTGAAATGATTAAAAAGAATTGGTAATTATCATCTGTTCATTATATATTTCCTTCTCAGAACCTCTGGATTATTTGTCACATACATATTTCTGCTATGCTTTTGGTAGTATTTTAACATAAGAAAAATATTCCTGTATCTTTTTTAACACACATACTAATTGCTCAATAGGATTGCAACTTGCCAGGGAAGAGTGGAGTGATGGTCCTCCCCTGTAACTGCCTTTAAGTGTGAATTATTCTCATTTCACTCATCACTATCAGGAGATAGCCATATTTCTCTGACAGAGAAAAATCTTGTTGTATTGCAGTCAGCCTGGGCTGGTGCAGAATGTTCATAGACATGTTCTCTCAATTTCCCTTTCAAAACAGAAGTAATTCACATGAGTAGAAGGACAATGTGCCTGAGGGCCACAAAAAAAACCATTTGAAATATTACTTAAAATTAACAGCTGCATTCATATTGTGTCCCTCTATTACTATGATTCAGCCATGTAGCCTGAATTTATCTTGCTTAATATTAGCATAGGCTAAATTTAATTTAGCGTGCATATTGCCAAACTACAAAGGGGATATCCCTCTGATTTCCCTGTGAGATCAAAATTTAGCCAAGCCTTTGATTTGAACATCATCTGGTAACTTTGGAGAGTTCCACATTCTCCCTTGGGGTCATTTGAGGTAAATTCAGTCAGTGCAGAAGATGAATAGCATTTAACTTGCATTTCTAATTTATGTTTCCAATAATACCTTGAGGCTTTATTCACTTCTTAAACTTCTGGCTCCTCCTCTTAGAATATTGTATTTTATTTTAGGAACTGGGCAGTTTTCCCCCAGTAAACAGCAGATACTGGGGTGTGCTCAAGGTTTGTGCTGCTTCAAGGGAGCTGAAATATTCTAGTTCTCTGATATACCCATAGTGTAAGGGAAACCCCTGAGTGACATGAAAAGCACTGAAGCTTTTCTCACCTTATTTAAGGCAGGTGAAAAAGTTCATGGCAGGAAAACCATGGTGTGCTTGTGGCTCCTAATTAGCACACTTGCAGTGAGACCATAGTGCAGTAACTAGACAGGGTTGGTGAGTGGCTAAAAGCTCACTGTAGCTTATTTTTCCTCATTCACCTACCAGAACTATGCATTCACTTGAGTTCCTCCCTTTTTTTTTTTTTTCTTCTGTTTATTTATGTGAGACTTAAAGCCCTGCACCCCTGAGCCATAATTTCTCCTGATGTCACTGGTGGTTACAGCCTGCCATCAGGCATTTTAGCCTGACTACACATCCAGATTTGCTGTCTGGGAAAGAGCACTTCTCAAACAGTAAGATTAATGCTTGATTGGTCTCTTGTCCATTTAAAAGCTTTAAAGACAGAAATAAACCAGAAGAAATCAGAGAGAAATGGTGTGGTTTATGTGTGGTTTTAAGTTTATAGAAGTCCACATTCTGTTTTTTATGTGTGTTTTCACACACGCCTTCACAAGTGAGCACAAGCATGCATCAGTATTTCTGCCCACAGGAAAGCTTCTCAAACCCATTGCCACTGTGCTCAGTATTGGTGGGAGAACCTGATGAGCTGAACCTCCTGACCAGTCAGGTGTTCCCACCTCCTAGGTAAGAGCTGGCATTCAGTGGATTATTTGACTTGTCGTGAATGCTTTGTCTTACCACTTGACCTACTTTGGCTAAAAAGGTAATCTTGGCCAGATCCCATCTCCCAGAGACTGGTCATTCCACATGGAGTCATTCCTTACCTCATGTAATAAAATGCATTTTGCCATTAATATTGTTTCTTGCTTTTTCTTTTTCAAGCAATAAGCAGTTGTTGAGAGAACGCCTAATCTGGAGCTTTCAGCAATTACTGTTTATCAAGTACAAGCCTTCTGGCTGTGTGAAGGATTCACCTCTGAGTCCTTGTATCAGAAGGAACCTCAAACTCTTTTATTCCTTACATTACCATAATTGTGTGTCTTGTACTTGCAGTAATTTCATGCTAATGTTGTATTTTTCTCCTTTCTTTTTAGGTTGGTTTGTTGAATTGGTTTCAATGCCCTTTGAAGTGTTTCCTGTTAAATAAGCTGGGAGTGGTTTTGTTGTGTTTTTTTCCTCATTTGGTTGCTGCTTTATTTTTCACTACAGGGGCTAATATCAGATGACAGCTGAACCAGCTTTGGTGATAAATCTTTGCTTCCGTGCCACACTCAGTGGGTTGTTAGGTGAAGCCTGGTGCTTAAATGACTGTTAAGTGATAAAAATGTAAAGGAAAAACTTTCCATCTTATAAGATTTAGACAAGTCTGCTTCTACTTACCCTCCAAAATTAACACATATATACCTTTCAGTTTTATTAACTTTTTTTTGAGTTGATTTATTTAGACAACTTTACTGAAAATGTATAAGATTTAGCCTCTTGTTTGAATACTTAGCTAATAAAAATACATAATGATGTTGAATTAATCTGTCTTTAAAAAAAAAAAAGAAAACACTATGCTGTTTAAAGACTTGGCCCAGGTACAGCAGAAATATTTTCTTTTACAATCCAACTGCTTAGAGGGATTATTTAATTCAAATTCACCGGTGCTGAAATCTCTCATAATAATTCATTACATAATAGGATTACCTTAAAAGAGAGCTAGATGGCACAGTTAGTCAACACAGTACAATATATTTTTGGAGGGTTAGGCTCAAATCTGACCCTGGGACACAAATGCATCATGTTTGCTGGTCTGACTAAGCCCAAGTAGATGTTTGTTTATGTTGCATACAATCTGGCATAACTTCATGTAGCTGGCAGACTGCTCAGTAAAGACCTGAGACTCGACGAGCAGTTTTGGACAGAGGAACATTGGCACAGCTGTTTGGAAAACCTGATTTAGCACATCTGAACTGTTCTTGGCTTTAGCCAATGGAGGTAGTTTTTCATTCCCCTGACTGCTAAAATTTATAAAATTCACCTAATAATTTAGTAGAAAATTAAGAACAACAGTGCCACTGGAATTCATCTTTAGCTACTGTGTCTGGTTGTTATTCCTAATTATAATCAGGATAGAAAAACTGGCTTACATAAAATTTTGTAATAAAACCCTCTGTTGCAATATTCAAATAGCTTAGGTATTTCTCAATATTAGGAAATATCAAAGAATAGACCTCCAATACCAAGAACCATTTCTGAGTTTTTAGGACATAATCCATAATTTCAATAATAAGTTGGTAAAATCTGTGTCACTTTGTGCTGGATATAGTCTAATTATATTTTACTTCTCTGTTAGTAGCTCAATTCAGCTATTCCTGAATTAAGTTGTATGTATATTAAAATAAGGTATATTATCTAGGATAAAAATATCACATAGATAAAAGGAATAATTGTGAGAAATAATAAAAATGTCAACTTTTCTTCTGTTAAAATACAAAATGTTTTCATTTTTCCCTGTTGCCATACAAAGGAAAAGTTTGTATTGTAGCAGATTTCACACAAAAAAAAAATTCAGTGCTTTATTCTGACATTTTGCTGCATGTTCTATAAGCTAATGTGGGAACACTTTTTCAGCACATGCAGATTTCATGTCAAACTGTCTAAAAAAATTGGTGTATTTGTGCCATATAAGTTTATTACTCTTTATTTCTAATACAAAGGTTGTATTATTGTTCCCTAGAAGAAATTCTAGGGGAGGAAGTACCATAAATGAGGTAACACTCAGTCTGTGGCTTTTCCTCAAGCAAAATAAATATATATTATTTTGTGGTAAGACAAGCTCTGAGTTTCTAGTTTTTGCTTTTAGAGTCCCAGAACTCAGATAATCTATTTTAGTTTTTGTCTCCATTCTCCTTATCAATTTTATTTGAAAACAGCAAAGTGATGGTAGATGTGATGTGTTACTAATGGGACAGTTCTGATAATTTATTTCCTATATATTGAGAAATTGAGCTTCCTCTGTAACTTCAGTTTTCTTTGCCCTCCATATGCCGGCTTTGATAGAAGTGTAACATTAATATGTTTACATTTTCCACCATGGACGTCTTTGTAAAATCTTCGTGTGAGCTAAGACAGGAGGTTTTAACAAAACTTTTGGGGCAAGATTCTTTTGTTTGTAACATATAGGTAAGAAGATAGAGCTCTCTATTTTAAAAAGAAAAAATAAAAGGAATACAAATATTTTAATACAGTGCCTTATGATAGATATGTCGCATGTATGGCACATATATTGGAAAATGTAAAGAATGCAGCTTTACAAAAATTTAAAATTTCTAGTGATAATATCTAGAGTGTCATTACACTTACATATTCCACCACAACTTCAGCCACTCTTTAATTGAATATGTAGTGCAATTCACAAGTGAAACACTATTAGATATAGAAGGTGAGAAAACCTCAGGTATCTTTGAGCTAAAATCAAGAATGCCATACACTGTATCTGATCATACTTTTACTCTCTAACCTAATGAAATGTATTTTGTAGTGGCTTTAATTGCTATGAATGTAGAACTTGCTATCTGTGCATGGGAATTATTGAAACTTACTGATGACCATGAAAATCTTGATATTCTTTAATATTGTTAAAGTAAACTTAATAAAGGAGCATTTTGTCTGAACAGAACAAGAAGAAGTAATAGAAGTAATTTGAAATTAAACAATTTTTAAAAAGGAAACACTGTAAAACTGGGCAGATTGAATTGTTCCTTATTACAGGAATTGTTCATTGTTTTTCAATATTTCCTATAATGTTTTAGATATCTTACTAGGGTTTGATTTCACCATTTAAAAGAAGTGCAAGTGGATAAAATCACTCATTCAGATCTATTCTTCATAAAAACCAGACCCAAAAGAGTCCCCTGTATCATTTTGTGTTAACATTATCTGTGTTATGTGTTAACATTATCTGTAAAGAAAAGCATGTGTCTGATTTCATGTTTTACTGACCCTTTGAGAACCTTTGAGAGATGGTTAATTAAAAAATATTTTTCTTAACCTCTTTACAGTACTTCCTATATGTGAATTCCACACCTGATGGGTGCTCCTGGCCACTGCTGAATTGGAAACATAAAAGCAAAATCCTTAGGCTGGACATCATGGAAAATGCTACGTATAAGGTACAAAACTCCAAATCACAAAGCACTATTGATACTCTAAATTTTCACCAACAGAAATCTCAGATTACAGTTTGAAGAACAACTTGTAATATTAGATTGTACCAGGAGGCAGTGAAGTTAAGCAGGTCTGTATTATTTTCTTTACCTGAATGCTTCATGGTGTAGGTAGTGACACAGCTTTTGGCAGCCACAGAAATCCAGTGATTTTCTGCAGCATGGAAGTTCTCTTGGGGTGTCTGAAAAAGTACAAACACGTGCAAAAAAAGAGTATCCTCAAAATTCCATGCATTTGATCTCTGATGAAAAGTAGAGAAACAGAAAAAATTGCAATACCTTCCCCTTCATATTAATGTGTGAAAATCTATGAACATATGGACTTTATGACTTTTAGCAACCATACTTCTATGTATCTTTGATCTTTTGCTGGAATACATATTTATTTATTATTTTCCAAGTGTTTTTGCTTCATGCGTTCCACTGAAATGCCTGTGACTATATATGCAACGAAGAAATGGGGGAAACCCAACCTTCAGGTTGGGTGGTTTGGGTGTTCTTTGTTTTTTGGGGGGTTTTTTGTTTTTTTTTTTCCATTTAAAAGTATAATTAATGTTTGTTTTAGATGTCATATGCTATCATCTTGGAGATCCAGTCATAAATCCTGTTATGACACATTATGGCTATGTTCTATTGACCCTATACAGTTTATAATGCATAATAGGTAATGTAAAATATCAATGATTAAAAACAGTTCAAATACCAGACTGTTTGCAGTAACAATAGTTTTGCAGATTTTTAGAAAGTGTTGTCCATAATTATTACAAATTTACTTTTGCTGATTCTGAATTTTGAACCCTTGTTATGTTTTTCCAAAATAACCCATAGTAATTAACTGCTCAGTGGCTTGGTAGGTTCCTCATTTATTTGGAACATGAGGAAATAAGGATATGGCATTGATCAGAGACTGCATGTCTGTGAGGCATCTTCGTGTGGCAGAGAGCATGCATTGCCCTAGAAAATGCTAATAGACAGAGAATGGCATTCCCCCATCCCATTAAGCCTGAGGGAGTGTCAAGGTTTACCATATGGCTCTCCATGTGCACCATTTTTGTCAAATTCACTCTTCTCACTCATTTTTTTGTCCTTTTTAATTTTTTTCTTTTTTCTGTCTTACCCTGCCACCACCAGTCCTTTCATCCTTCCTCCTGTTCACGCAGAAATCTTCATTTTAACTAAGGATGCTTTTCTCCCTTATGTTTCTGCCTGCCCACAGTTGCTAATAACAGCTCCTTCTTTAGTCTCTATAGCAATCAGACAGCAGAAGCACTCAGCACTGAAAAACAGGCAAATCTTGGTAGCAGCCTCCCATTTTTTCTTTTTCTTTTCTTTGCAGCAGTTGCCACCTACCTTCACCTCTGCAGAAATCTGTGGATGTGCTGATATTCATCCAAGGGAATGGACCAAGAAGAAGGAAACAGCAGCCTATGGATCAGTTTCCTAAAGTAATAAACTGGATTAAAAATTAGTATATTTTACCGCACTTTATGAAACTAATGAAGCATCTCAAATGTACATAAATATTCTGCTTCTGTTCAGTTTAGTTAAAATATCTGGAGAAAGTGATATAAGCAAGAAAGTTGACCTCTTTTCATATTAAACATAGAGTAGTGGAAGAGCGAATAAAGTATTACCCTGTGTATTTTGAGTGAAAATACAATAAATATTCTAATCCATAAGAGAAAAAATTCTCAGACTGAAAGAAGACAAAAATATTTAATTTTCTGTGTATGAATGTCTATGTAATATTCCAGAGAAAAGGTGAATTAAGGAATGTTTGCTTTTATTGCAAAGACAAGGTTTGAGTACTGTATGCTGTGCAGGAAAATCAAATAAGACGTTCTGTCAGGAAGGCAAAAAATAAATAGCATTAGTTCTCTAGGCTGATTCTGAGCTATCAGAAATATGTCCAGTCTAACATAGATGGCATTTAGTTATAGTGCAGATGAATATTTATTAATATTCTTCAGAGACTGAAAGGATGGCTTTTGTTTTACTAGACACTTGAAGACATGATATTCAAAATGTTTCCTTTGTTTGGCATCAAAAAGTATTATGATCATTTTGGCAAACTGTACAAACAAAGCTATCAGGCAATGTACTGTACTGACAGGTTTTGAGTTAGAAGATTAGTGTTGAATGAACAAAACTTCAAGTAATTTGCAAGGCCTTTCAGTCAAATGTAGGACAGGTGTTTTATAAATAGTGTAATACATAACATAATATGTGGCTTCAAAGATTTTCAATAAGGTCAGAGAAAAACCTATTTTGGGGTCAATTGGCAGGTGACAACAAGTAAAGTATAAATTAAATCTCAAAGCTGTTTTTCAAGACAAAAACAAGTAAGATTTTGATTTGGTAATGAATGGACAGTGTCAATGAGGCAGTTGAATGAAAAAGCAGCAGCAATTGTGTATTTTCATAAGCAAGAGAGGGTGCAACTTTAATTGTTCCTTCACAGTGTCTTTGTTGAATTTATTGATGCCAGAATAGGAGAGATTGTCCTTTATAAATGATACCCACACTGGCATGGCCCACTTGTGGGAACATGGGGAACCATCTGTATCAAGGCACCAGAATATTTTGTGTCCTCTTTTATAGGAGTGACTTATCATATAGGGATGATCCTGTTTGCATCTGCGCCTGGAGAGTCATTTCCTTTACAGAAACTCATGTTCAACACAGTACTTCAGGTGCAACAGAGACAATGAGTGAAGCAGATTTCTGTCAGAATTCTAGGTGTGAGAGAATAGCAAACAGTTCAGGTGATGCTGTGCTGAGTGCACCAGTCTGGTTTAAGTGAGGTGTCTTTCTAGCAGAGAGGAGGCCTCAGAGTACTCTGCCTGTGCAGTTAATAGTGCAAGAATGTCTCCCTTCCACCTGCTTTGTTCCACTGTGCCTTCCCAGCACTGACTAAGGGTCAGCACAGGATAAACAAACTGTACTCTTCAGTTCGAATGCATAGGGCTGTAGTCTCTGTTGAACTTTGGCTGACTGGTGCCAATGTGGAAAATTAGCTGGCTTTACTAGCAAATGCAGAGCAGAGGTGTTATACCAGCAATGTTAAAAGCAAAATTGACAAAATAGTGGAATAAAAGCTCTTGAAAAATGCCAGCAAGGCATAAACAGGATGGAATATACACTAGGAAGGAAAGGATGATTTGTGCACCAGAGTCTCAGCATTCATTTAATAGGAAAGTAACTTTCTGTGTGATAAAAATGCAAAGAATAACTTGAAAGCATGAACCAGCTGGTGAGTGATGTTCTTTGTTAGGCTTCAGCAGTAAAGCCTGAAAACTGCAACCTTTGTGTATTCTAATAACCCGTTTGCTTCCATGCTGCATTCTTCTGGCTACCAAACAATGACACCTGAAAATGTGCATCACTGCTGGGCTCTAATTCAGCAGCAGCTAGAAGCAAAAAAAATGGCTGATTACAGTACAGAAGGAGAATACCTACAGGGAGTAACTTCTTGGTTGTCACAGAGGAGAGGACAGAAAATTTGGCAGATGAAAAGAATGACCACTGATTTTCTTTGTTATTTCAGGAGAAACAAAGGCCAAAATTCTCAGTAGAGTGAAGCTTGTCATTTGGTTCCAATAAGAACACGAGGAAACACACAAGCAAAGAGGTAACATTCCAGTGTATTAAGTATGTAAGAACATATTAATCTTAACATATATATATATATGTATATATGTGTGTATATATATACACACACACATATATATATGTATATATGTATATATATAATATATTATATATATATATATATATATATGTAAGTTGTAGTGATTATGGCTACATCTTGGCATTCAGAGTCAGCAGGTCTGGAATAGCATCCTAAATATTTGTCTCATGCATGCTTCATTATTAATATTCAGCAGTATTTCTTATGAAATCTACTTAACTCTTTTCACCCTTTATAACATCCCTTGTTTACAAACTATTAGAAGATCTATTAAGAGCTACTCTTTTGTGTCCATGATCCCAAGTTATAGTTATCTGTGTGTATAGATTGTTTCTCTAGATGTGCACTTGCAGAGCCAGTACAGAATACAGAGTGAGATGGGCAGGTGGTTGATTAATCTCTAAATTTATTGCAAAATCATGTGGCTTCACACTTTGATCTTCTTGACTGTGAGGATCTGATTATTAAAAGATGTCTCTGCCCAAATTAAGGTGGATGTGAGACCATATGCCAAAGTCAATAGTACAGATTTTATTTAACAGTAAATGAGATACAGAGATTAAGTAGAAAGACAGCCACCACCTCATAGATCCCTGTGGTGTCTTCCTGGCCTTCTTTTTCTGGTCTTCTTGGTGCTGGGGGTCTCCAAGTGGTCTTCTGGAGGTACCACTTTTCTACAGACCTTTTTTATATATCCTGTGCTTATCACAAGTTCCCTCAGTGGAATTTTGTCCAGTGCGCTCATTCCAAATATTTACCTTCATTTAGCCCTGGAAATAATGCCTTCCTCTTTGCTATCTGTGCCTGTTGTGATGGCTTAACTTATGGGATCTTCCTTCTTTGACAATGGTTTGAGACATTCTTTAAGTTCTCATAATGGTTTGTCTCTGGATATGACAATCTTTAGAAGTGTCAAAGAAGAACCAGAGAATTCATAATACTCAGCACTTACTTTCCCACTATAAGCTTTATTGATCTTCAGTTATTATTACATTTAATAGTATTTGTTTTAGACTGTGGCTTCCAAGCTTGTTTATTGTGGTCCTTTCTTTCACTGTACTTCTATTTGCAACTAGAAATGCAAATCAGTGAACAAGTAGCAGAATTGGGGATCTAATGTTTTAGGCTATCAATTTGAATTTGTAGGAATTCTAGAATCATTTGTTGTCATTAATTTTTGCTGTTCAATTTACAGTGTTGTTAAATGAGCAAAATTCTCCTGTTCTAATAATATCCTTCAGAAATATGTTCTGTCTGGGGAAAAAAAATAACAACAAACCAACAAAAATCCCCAACCTTGATTATAAGTGTGAAACTGACGTTCTTTCTCTCAGTGTGCATTCCTGAATTGTAAATCAGGGAGAACAGAAACTCCCAGTCTTCTCACTTTGTTCTAGTCAATATTAATGCTTGTTTTTATTATGCATTCATGTATTTTTCCTTTCTTGGAGGGAATGAAGTGCATTGCTGTATATTTTACTGAATCTTTTGTGTGTCTTCATATTCCTCTCACTCCTCTTTGACTTCCTGTGCTTTTTCTTCTCACCTTCTTGTTAATACTCAAAGTTTTTGACTGTTGAGTTGGACAACTTGATATTTCTGTCTTAGGGATTTACATATGGTTTTACATATGGTTTATTGGGGTATAGCAAGTCGAGTCAGTCTGAAGCCAATAATTTTCCAGAGTTTTAAAGAAATCTACATTTTTCCTGGATATTTTTGTACAAGCATGAAATGATATGAGTAAAGGGTGTTAGATGCCTCTCACAAAATCCGTCAAGTATTAGGAGTAATTGTAGTAATTGTAATTGTAGTAATCCACAATCTAATTGCATAGTTCCATACCTGTTCCTTCTGGTTTTCACTCTAGTATATTTTCAAAAATTTTTTAGAAAATGGGATTTCTTCAAAGGGACACCTGCTCTCTTGAATGTTTGGGACAACCTTTGAACAAAAGATTACCTTACCTTGGTTAAAGATTACCTTCTTTGCCAAGGCCAAAGAAGATCAAGACTATGATTCATGTGAATATCCTAGCCACAGGACTTCCATAAAGTGAGGGGCAGAAAAGGGAACAGGAAAGAAATGTAAGCTAGAAAAGGCTGTCACCTGAATATTGCTTCAGTACTTGCTATAAAATTTCAATTTTTTTGGAAACAAAATTAAATCATGCATTATAACCCTTCCCAATGTTTGGTCTAGTTGAAAATGCTTGGATTTGACATAACTACCTACTCATTTTCCAGAAAGTTACTAACCAAGTAAATATGTTTTATCAGTCTGTTCGAGGTTAATGTAAAATGCCTAATGTGTGTGTACTCATGTGTAAATAGGCTTATGAAAAAAATCTAGGAACTTTTCAGAAGCTGAACACAACTTGCATGTTTTATCATTAATTCATGATGAAATTAATCAAATGTTCACGTAGATATAAATGGGAGATACCTGCATATCCTTTTGCTATATCACACTCACGTGTCAGATTGGGTACACCACAAAAATTGATCTGATCGGTCTGCAACATTTTCTTTATAACAAGAAAACAAATTAATGGTTTTGAGTACAGTTGAAAGAACAAGCTTGGTGTTGTGCTGCTTTATGATCTGTGCTCAGAGTCTGTGTAATACATTCCTGACCTTTCAAGGAACGGTGTTTTTCTTTCAAATATAGATTCTTTTTTTAAGTGTACGTATCTTTGGGTCGAGGAGGACAGCGATGGAGCACGTGGTAAATTAACCAGCACAAAATACCACTGTCCCTGCAATTGAATCTAAGTTGTTTGACATATTCCTTGTGCTAAAATAGCTGAGGAGTGTGTTTTGCTTCACGTGGTAGAAAGCTGGATTTCTGTGGGGAAATGTTTGTTATAGCTGTTCTTTCTCCAAGTGTATGTCATGATTTTAGTGAATATTAAAGCAGTTTTATTGGCCAACTTGTTCTGCTTGTAAAACAGACTCTCATCAGAACCAAAAAGGAAATTATCAAAATACAAGATTATATTGGAATAGTTTTGCATATGGAAATGCAAGATAGTGGAATGATGATAATGACTGTTAAGGAAATAACTGACAGACTTCAGAGAAGAATAAGAGAGCGTCACTGCTTTGGTTGCTGCTGCCTTGGCATCTGTAGCTCATCAGCAAGTGAGTATTAATGTTCACAGTGCATAGGTGTTTGCTTATCAGTCTGTAGGGTATGTCAAATGATAATTTGGTGGAAAAACCCTCAGAGTAGTTCCTTGGATGTACAAGTTAAGAATTTGAGGGAGCTTTTGAATAAGAACTAGAGGAAAACGTGATTCTGGTGAGTAAAGTTGAAGCTCCTGAAGTTGAAAGATCATTTTCTTTTTCCTTATTCATCAGAACTGGAAGATTTTTGTTTCTAATGTTAAATTACTTTAAGTGATGGGAGCTAACTTCCTTTAGGTAAACATTAGAAAGCTGATCAGATGATCTTTTGTTATTTGCCTACAGTGCAAAAACATGATTTATATAAGGATGACTGGTGAGGGTTTAAAGTATGTGTGATGACTTGTTCTCCTTAAATACCCATGAAGTTGCAAGTAAGGATATTGATTGTGATATTGATCAGCTCAGTGATGGTGATGAGACAACACTGTATTAATTATAAGGTTCTACATTTACTGAGTAAATGTTCATTCCTCTCTCTTTCTCTCCTTTTACTCCTTTCTCGTAGCTATGCAATGTAGATGACTAAGAGTATGTTTTATTTTGTGATGTTCTTGTCCATGTGTAATCATAGCACTAAGAACAAATGAGAAATTGTGAATCCTCATCCAGTAACCATTTCAAAGGGGAGCTGTGGTTTTCTTTCCCTCCTGTAAATTTGAAATGCACTTTGCTTCATAGCCAATAGGAGGCAATGAAACAGAGAGCAAGACATGAAAGTCATGTTTCCCTTATTTTCTGTCATTTCTTCAAATAATTTAAATCATTATTATTATTCTATGTCCCTCTGTGTGCCATAGGGCAGTTTAATAACCAGACCTACAGAAGAAAAGAGAAAAAAAACCTTTGATATCATGAAAATGGAGGAAGTGGCTGAATTAAAACTAGGAGCTGTCAGAGGGGAAGAAAGATAACTTCTGAAACATTTTAAAGTCTTATGTATAAATACACTATGGTTGGAATGCCACTTTCATTTTGGCTGTTTCAATGGCTCCAGTACTTGAAAAAAATGAGAATTCCTATCATGTCGTAGGATTGTTTCTCATTGTTCACTTTTGAGTTCACTATGTCCAGTGGAATCATTCAAATTTGTGTTGAAGTCTAGTGGACAAGTGACAGGAAGTTTATGAGCCTAGGGGAGACTTGTACTAGAAATAACATGGGCAGTGTGAGCAGCTCAATGTATCTTCAGATCACATTATAAATTGATTTTATTTTAAATGTTGTTCCACAGAAAGAACTTTACAAGCTTCACAAAAGATTTTCTTAGGGCTTGAATAGACATCAGTATGATACAAACAAAACCATACAATAGCAGTGTGTCATCATTCTGCAAAGATATCACTACCAACAAACATTTAAAAAAAACCCCGTAAGCGTTTCAGTCTTTGAAAACCAGACAGGGGATGAATTGCTGCTTTTATTCCTACTTAGTAGAAAGACAGGGTACCATCAAACAGTGAAAAGCAGCTGAGGACATGGAAGGCTGGAATTAATTTACTTTGTTACTGTTAGACAAACTAGTTAGACTTTGTCACTGCATCTTTTTTTTTAAATGTTTTTCCTCTTTTTAAACTTGTAAGTGCTCTGTTAATGATATGGAGACACTGAGCATGGGTGTTACCTTCAGAGGGACTGAAATTTCTGAGGTGTAGTTGCTGGTGAGCCTTCTTGGAGTTAGATGTCATCTCCAACCTTTCATCCTTGACATTTGTGGAAGTTGCCTGCTCTGTAGTAAAGCTGACAGAAGTG